GAGACAGAAATCTTTAATAAATTAATTAATTAATAAATAAAAAACCCTCACAAGGCCTTGTTTGTCAATTTTTTTTGCCTTATTTCTTGACCAGGTGGATTTCTATGCAGCAAGTCTTTATCTATGCCTATACCTTGAAATGCGTTCCATAGTTTTCATCCAGCACCTTCAGTTTCGTGTCTTCTGCTGAGGTCCTTAAACCATTTAAGATGCGTTTTGTGCAGGAAGAGTAATAAGGATCTAGTTTCGTTCTTCTGCATGCAGATAATTTCCACAACACCATTTGATGAAGATGCTGTCTTTTTTCCAATTTGGGGGGAGGGGAGGGCAACTTTGTTACAAATCAGATGGCTGTGAATGTGTGATTATGTAATTGGGGTCTCTATTATATTTCATTGACATATGTGTCTGTTTTTAGGACAGAGTACCATGCTGTTATTATTACTAGAGGTCTGTACTATGACTTGAAATCAGAGATAGTGGTATCTACAGCAATACCTTTTATTGTTCAGGATTTTTGGATAGCCTATTTTTTTATTTTTGCTTTGTGTGTGTATTTAGCTATAAAATTTTAATATTTTCAAATTAGGTAAAGAATTGCATTGAAATTTTGATGGGGATTGTATTGAACTAGTGGATTGGTTTTGGTAGGTTGGCCTTTTTTACAATGGTAATCCGACCAGTTCATCAGCACGTGAGGTCTTCCCAAGTTCCTATTACCCTCTTAAATTTCTTTCTTCAGTACTTTAACCTTTCTATCATTCACGCCTTTCGCTTCCTTGGTTAAAGTTATACCAAGATATTTTGATTTTTTTTTAGACTACTGTGAATGGGATTGTTTCCCTGCTTGATTTCTTGCTGTATTTGTCATTAATGTTTGCATTTTAATAGAAATTGCTTTAGTCTCTTTCTATCATGGAGAGTTTTTCCCTTCAGCTATGGCAGATTACTTTGCTGGGTAGAGTAGTCTCGGTCAGTACTTCTTTATCTTTCAGCACTTCATCCCAGATCCTTCTGGCTTTAAAATTTTTGTTGAATAATTTGGCATGATTTTGATGGGCATTTGGTGTTTCCCTCTGCTGCTTTCAAAAACACATTCTTTATTCCCTGTATTTATCTTTTAATTACAATATGATGATAGAAGTTCTTTTCTAGTCTTGTCTATTTGGTGTCCTAAATATCCCATTTCTGGATCGTCTTCTGTTTTCTTAAGGCTGGGAAATTTTGATATTATTCCTTTGAAAATGCTCTCAATGCCCTTAGAATGAAGTTCTCCTACTTCGATTTCTGTAATGTGTAGATTTGGTCTTTACAGAATGTCATGGATATCTGAGAATTCCCCTAGTAGTTTATTATCTTCATTCTTGCTGAATTGCTCCCGTTCCTCCACCTTGTCTTCAAGCTCAGATACTCTGTTTTCTCTCTGCCTAATTCCATTGCTAAGACTTTTTCTTGAGACTTTTATTTGACTTCCGATGTTTTTTATTTCAGTGGTTTTACTTCAGTATTTCTCTCCTGTTTTTAGAGTCCCCTTTCATGTGCATCCCCCGCCTTCTTTATTTCATTCAGTTACTTGTATCTTTGAGCATACTTTTAGTCATACTTTTGAGTTGTCCGTATGGGATTTCATCTAATTCACTCTCATTAGATGACATTCTTAGATTTGATAAGTTTTTAAGAGTTACATTGTCTTGACTTTTTATGGTGGTTCTTATGTCACTGCATTGGGATTTATGCACCTGGTCTTTTTTTTAAGTTTGGGGGCTATTTTTGTCAGCTATATTCTTTCAGTTGTAGTATTTGCAATGTCCAAATAGTATTTGGATGTAGTGTATTTGAACCTATTCGTTCAAATAGGATTTGGATGTAGTGTATTTGAACCTATTCGTTCAAATAGGATTTGGATGTAGTGTATTTGAACCTATTCGTTCAAATAGGATTTGGATGTAGTGTATTTGAGCTTATGAAGTCATTCTCATCAAGATGCAAGAGGTAATATGAACTATACTCAGATTTTAGTTAATAAGATTAGGAGTGAGAGGAAAGTATAGGTGATAAGGATAAGAAATAAAGATTTAGGGGCTGGAGAGATGGCTCAGTGGTTAAGAGCACTGCCTGCCCTTCCAAAGGTCCTGAGTTCAATTCCCAGCAACCACATGGTGGCTCACAACCATCTGTAATGAGGTCTGGTGCCCTCTTCTGGCCTGCAAGCATACACACAGACAGAATATTGTATACATAATAAATAAATAAATATTTAAAAAAAAAGAAATAAAGATTTAAAAAGGGAAAAAGGAGGTAGGTAAAGTAGCTGGGCAAGGAAAGTTGGTGTACTAATAAGGCTCAGAGATTTTAGAGACAAATCTACATAAGATGACAACAGAGAAGTGAAAGAGGAAGGGCTAAAAATAAAAGAAAGAAGGAAAGAAATAAGAATGAGGGGAATTATATGACTTGTGCGCGAAATGCATAGTGGAGAATTCCTTATAGTATAGCATTTGGGCAAACTTCAACAACTTTCCTAAACCTGATTGAGCAATATACGAACAAAAGGAAACCCATCATGAGACACATATCCAATAATGTAAATTAAATAATTGAGAAGAAGAAATATAAAGATAGAGCTGCAGGAGATTAATGACTTCTGAGAATGGGGCTCCAGAGACAAGCCCCCTCAGATGAGATCTAATCCCAAGAGGTCAGCCCTATACATGTATTCATATGAACAACACTAGCTGAACTCAGAACATTGTATTTATTAATTCATATGTATATATATTATGTAACAATGACATTTAAAAAATAAGAGGCCATGAATTTGAGGAGTACACAGGACATGGTAGGATTTGGAGTGAGGAGGAGTGAATAATATAAATACAGTACTCATATATTAAATTCTCAGAAATTGAATTATGTATGTATGTATATAAACATACATACGCACATGTATATAGCACAACTTCTAATTGGTCTTAATAACAAAAACTCAGACTCAGATATTAGGGGGTGAAAGCGGAAGGATCAGAGAAGCCAGCTATTAGTTCTTACCTCTGCCAATGCTCAGACCAAAGAGGTGATCCTATCTCTACAGATCCTCAGACTGCTACTGTGTCGTGGCACTACCCGCAAACTGCTAGTCATTCTAGATTCTTCTTTCTCTTTCCTTGCCTGTCAAATTTGACTCCATCAGATCTCTTACAGCCATTAGATTCTGTTCATCTCCCTTGCTATTGGTCTAGTCCACGCTGTGAAAGGGGTGGAGAGCGTCACCATAACGACATGACATTTATGCCGACCTTTGTAAAGGTAAACTATTGTGATGTCATTGCCTGGGGAGGGCAATGGTGGCTTTGGGCTCTAGAAGTATCGGTGTGTCTTTTCCCTTCCCTTTCTGAGCAACTGCTTGTCTGAGTCATTGCTAGTCAGGAGCAGGGTCCATGGAAGGTAACCTAGGGAGTGGAGTCAGTGTCTTCTCGGAGAGCCCTAGCACGATAGAGACTCAGATAGCCAGTGGGTATAGGGTATCAGAGTCTGAGGAGGGTTGGCGCAGGCTGGTCCTGGGTGAGGCTGCAGAGCCTGGAGAAGGTAGCAATCTTGTTCACACTTGAGTGAGGCAAACATCCATGAAGAACAGCCTATTTTCAGTTATGAAATGGAAGTCCAAGCAGGATGAAGAAGGTCACAGAATACTTATTACAACAGAGAACGAAAGGGTAACGGAGTGGGGAGGGCTGGCAGATACACCTTCTGGAGCAGGTAAACAGCAGCATCCTTGGTAGAACACACTGAAGTCACATGTTCCTTGTCCAACTATGGCAAAGAAGCTAGAGCCCCACTGCTCTAGTGACCGCGAAAAATATCTGTCACCTACACTGGATAAAGAAGTGACTCAAGAGCCAGGAGAAGAGTCAGAGACAGCCCCTGTTCCAGGATGGGGAGAATGACAGGAGGGACTGGGAGATGAGGACTTGGGGGAGGCTGCAGCCACAATGTAAAATAAATAGATGAATGAAAAAGGTGACTCAAAATAGGAAGAATCCTACATAATGACTGACTGCATGGACTCTTCTAATATAACTGACATCCACAACGAACTAGAATTCTCATATTGTTAAAATCTAGAAACTCATACAAACACGGAAGAAAGAAAACCTTAAGGAAAGCAATTGACCTGGGGTGGTGTTTGCACATGCCTTCAGTCTCTGCACTCTAGAGGCAGAGGCAGGCAAACCAAACAGCAACAACAAGAAAAACATATTTATACACTTTTGGAGGATTTTATTCTACAGATAAGACTGATAATAACCTGATCCCTTCACATAACCTTGTAGTCTTCCTTCTTGCCGGTTATCCTTCATATTCTATTAAATATCTGTTGTTTCAGCTGGGTGGTGGTGGCACACACCTTTAATCCCAGCACTCGGGAGGCAGAGGCAGGGGAGGCCAGCCTTGTCTACAAGAGCTAGTTCCAGGACAGGCACCAAAGCTACAGTGAAACCTTGTCTCAAAAGAACCAAAAAAAAAATCTGTTGTTTCTATTTAATGATTGTAGACTGAACAGTACTATTATTGTCTTTTTGGGCCTGTTTTGTGCGTTGGTGAATACTTAACATTTAATAAAGTGCCTGGCATATAGTTTTCAGTCCAAAAATATTGGTTAATTGCACAAACGGAAGAGGGAGGTGGAGAGGGAGGAGATAGGAAAAGGAAGAGGGAGGTGAGGAGAAGAAGGCGAGAGAGAGAGAGAGAGAGAGAGAGAGAGAGAGAGAGAGAGCGGGCTACATGTATGGAGCAGAGACCAAGAACTTTGTCAGGAGCCAATAGTGATGAGAACTGCCCTGTCCACCCACCTGCTTTAGAGTCTGGCCCTGAGACAGGACCGGGATCCTCAGCAGAATCCGTTTCAGTGCTGGCACCCAAAGCAGGAGAAACTGGAGAACTGCCAGCAGGGAGAGCCAGCCTGAGAACTTGGCAGCCCCGTAGCATCTGTCAGAACTAGCATGCATCCGGACGAGACCATGACCACAGAAGTTGCCTTTGCTCTGCAGCTTTTGACAGTGAGTGAGATGTTGGCGCATTCCCCGGGTGTGAACTGTCATCGAGGGGCATCTTTCTCGTCTAACCTTCAGAGAGGAGGTCAGGACTGGGTCTCTGGAATCGTTGAGGAGAGAGGCTTTGGAGAGAAGGTATAGGGGGAAGTACTCCAGGTAGCAAGAGAGGGTTATGCAAATAGCTTCCCCATAGTCAACTCTAAAACCATCTAAGTACTCTGATACTGTAGTGGGTAGAACATCCTGGAAGACGGATGTTGAAAGTTCAAGACTCCCCATTCATTAGTGAATGTGGATTTTTCCATGAGGCAATAAAGAGCCATTGCAACCGCCATTTTCCTTTGGGGTGATATTTTCCCTCTAGGCATCATTGGGAAATAGTATAGGATGGGAAGTAGACCACATGAAATGATTTTAAAAGTTTATAGTACAACAAGGGCTCTATCTAGGGTAGTGATTATCAAGAGACAGTCCAGGTGAGAGGAAGAGCTGTGGGCTGGACGCGAAGGGTAAAAAGCACAGACACTTCTGGCAGATGGTGCTTTCATTGAGCTCGGCGTAAGCGATATTCATTTGGACAGGTTACATTTGAGAAGCCCACGTGCATCGCCCTGGTAGAACTTCCAGTCAGTAATCAGATACCGGCTGTGGAGTTCAGGAAAGAGTCAAAGTTGTAGACAGACTTGGAAATCATTAGCCTGCAGTTGAATCCATGAGACCCACCTCTTGCAGAAATTTCCAGTGCTTGAAGGATGGTCATAGGGTGCTGGAGAAAGGAGCTCAGATGATTTCCAAAATCAAGGAAGGGCAGAAGTTTTATTGCCTAGCCCTGTAAAGGGCTTAAAACTTAGTAGACTACATGAATTACGGAGACAATTGAGAACCTTTTCTGTGGCACTGGGTATTGATCCCACAGCATCCCACATGCTGGGCAAATGCTCTAGCACTGAGCAGTACCCTCAGCTCTCACTGAGTGCCTTTCTGAGGATTCCCTGGGGACATGGCAAAGCAAAACATGACACCACTGAGATTCCCAAGGAGGTTTCAGCAATCTAAATCTATCCTTCCATAGGTATGTATTTCAAAACTTTAAGACTTTGATGAGCAAATGTTTTCTTGTTTCAAAATCTAGGTTTCTCTGTGGAGGCGTCACTAGTAAACTGGCTCTCCTTTAGACTGAAGGTCTAAATTGCCCATGTGAAGTCATTATTCCATTTGTTTGCTGTTATTGTCCCCCCCCCCAAAAGATATATTGGAGGCCTACAGCTCAGGTCTTTCAGAATATGATTTTATTTGGAAATGCATTTGTTAAAGAAGGAACCAAGTCGGAATAAAATCCTAATAGAGTGGTCCTATAAAGCCAAAGTGATGGTATTCTTGTAAGAAACAGAGAGAGACACAGAGAAAGGGGGAGTACAATGTGCAAGCCAAGACTAGAACGATGCGGGGCCTTCAAGCCAAGGAAGGCCAAACACTAGCAGCCACCAATAGAAGCCAGGTAGAGGCTAGGAAGGAATTCACTCAGTCTGTAAATGTGTGCTGTTTTAAGACACCCATGTTGGGATACAATTCTTCTGTACCCACAGGTACCACACCCACAATTTTAATCTGCCATACACTGAACATCTCACAAAATAATTGTATCTGTACTGAATGGGGATGGGCATTTTCTATTATAACCATTGCATAAATGGTGCATCATAAAGTTATTTAAAATACATTTACATTGTTTGTGAATTAGAAATCACCCAGAGATAATGTGTCTGGTGCTTTGAATGAGAAATGTTCCCCATAGGTTTGTGTGGTTGATCAAATGGTCTCCAGCTGGTGGTACTCTTTGGTGCTGTTGGGAAACCTTCAGATGTGACCTTATTGGAGGTACTACGTAACTAGATGCTGTGGGACAATAGTCATATACCTTGTCAAATATATTGTATTATTTTACTAAAACGCTGATTGGCCAGTTGCCAGGAAGCAAGTTTAAGCAGGGTGACCAGGCAGGAAATAGAGGCAGGAAGATGAGAACAGGAGATTTCTGGGAAGAGGAAAGGGTCAGTTTGCAGTCATCACCCAGATGCAGAGGAAACAAGATGAGAATGCCTTGTTGATAAAAGGTACCAAACCACGAGGCTAACACAGACAAGAATTATGGGCTAATTTAAGCTGTAAGAAAGAGTTCATGGGAAGCCTGAGCTAATATTCCAACCAGTTTATAATTAATGTAGGCCTCTGTGTGTTTCTTTGGGAATGAACAGCTACAGACCAGGCAGGACAGAAACTACTGCCAACAACTCAAGTTTAAAGCTCTGCCCTACTTAAAGTTAACTCTCTTTGCTTTGTTCTTGTGGTTGACACATGATTTCTCAGCTTCCTGCATTACCTGCCATGCATTCTTGCTTCCATACCTCCCTTCTTTTTTATTTTTTTTAATTTATTTATTTATTAAAGATTTCTGTCTCTTCCCCGCCACCGCCTCCCATTTCCCTCCCCCTCCCCCAATTAAGTCCCCCTCCCTCCTCAGCCCGAAAAGCAATCAGGGTTCCCTGTCCTGTGGGAAGTCCAAGGAACCCTTCTGTGATGGACTATTATCCCTTTGAAACCCAGAGCCAAAATAAGCATTTCTTCTGTAAGTTGCCTTGGCTATGGGATTTTATCATTGCAGCCGAAAACACATACAGATGATCTGAGGTATATGGATATGCACAGGTTATACATGAAAACTAGGCTATTTTACATAAGGAACTCAGAAATTTATAGATTTGATTGAGTACACAAGGAGCATGCTGGAACAAATGCTCTGGGAGCACCTCTATACTACCATCATTTCTTATAGTCCATGCTAGAAAATTTCTACAGTTGTTAAGTACAAAATGGTGATATTTCTCTAAGTCCCACCAATAGAATAGAATGTCACAAAGATGGCGACTATGGAGATCTCACTCAGACACAAACATCTGGCCACTGGGTAGAAGTGACGAAAGTGTTGGTAGTGCTCTGAAGAGTTTAAGGAATTGTTGCTCTTTGAGTGATTTAAACTACTTGAGACTGTAGTTCTTAAAACTTGAACAGGAAATCAAAATTGGTATCTTTGATTTTTTTTCCAGCAAATCAAAACTAGATTGTCAGCCTAGGTAGAACTCTTCCAGAGATAATAAATAGCACCAACCACAAAATAATTAGAAAATGAAATGGGGTATGGTGGCAACCTTTTTTCTTCTATTTTATTCTTGTGAATAGATTTTATTTTTACAGTAGCTTAAGGTTTGGAATGCAGAGAGCCTATAACATCACAGTATTGCTCGGCTAGCCTCTTATTGCTCACAGTTTCTGATGTATGTATGTATGTGTGTTACATGCACAAATATGTGTGTAAATGTGTGCACACATGGAGGCCTTACACCCTTGGGTAGATTCTCTCAATGAACCTGGAACCAGACTGGAAGCCAGAAAATCCCAACCATTACCCCATCCCTCCCTCCACAAAACATAACGCACTTGTAATCCTAGCACTATGTTGTGCACTGGAAATTTGAACTCAGGTCTTCACTCTATAAGCTGAGTCATCCCTTCAGCCTGATTGCCCTATTATTAACATGATGCATTAGTATGGCACACGCTTTACAACTGGTGAGTCAATATTGATACATTATTACTAAGCAGTCCTTAGTTGGCATTAGTGTTTACTCAGGGTTAGACAGATCTATAAGGTTTCCCGTATACGCAGTGCCATGTATCCCCCATTGCAGTATCATTAAGAATAGATTTATTGCATGAAAAAGTCCTTGTGCTTTACCCATTCATCTTCTCTCCCCTCTCTCGGGATCCCTGATAACCACTTCTCATTTATTGCCTCTGTATTTTTTCCTTTTCTAAAGTACTACAAAGTTGGCTTAGTCTGTGGCTAGTTTGAATTCCCAATATTCATGCAAGGTATTCATGTCTTCTTGTGGAGTTACAGTCTTCTGCTTCTCATGGCTAAAGAGTATTCTACTGTTTCAGTGTGCCAAGGTCTATTGCTATCTATTGAAGGACAATTTGATTGCTTCTGAATTTTGGAATAAAGAGTCTGCAAACATTTGTTTGTGTGTTTTTGTGTGAGCATAAAAATTTTAAATCACTGGAGTAAACAGCAAACAGCATAATAGCTGGATTGTGTGGTAAGAGCCTGTTCGGCTGTGTGGAACCTGCTTTTCTTTTTTCTTTTTTTTCTATTTTTTTTGCGTTTTCTGAATTTTTTTTATTGAGAAAAGGAGAAAAAAAACAAGTTTCCACCTCCTCCCAGCCTCCCATTTCCCTCCCCCTCCTCCCACCCTTCTCCCCCTCCTCCCACCCTTCTCCCCCTCCCCCCACTCCTCTCCCCCTCCCTCTCCAGTCCAAAGAGCAGTCAGGGTTCCCTGCCCTGTGGTAAGTCCTAGGTCCTCCCCCCTCCGTCCATATCTAGGAAGGTGAACATCCAAACTGGCTAGGCTCCCACAAAGCCAGCACATAAAGCAGGATCGAAACCCCGTGCCATTGTCCTTTGTGTCTCATCAGCCCTCATTGTTCGCCATGTTCTGAGAGTCCAGTTTTATCCCATGCTTTTTCAGTCACAGTCCAGCTGGCCTTGGTGGGCTCCCAATAGACAGCTCCACTGTCTCAGTGGGCGGGTGCACCCCTCGTGGTCCCGACTTCTTTGCTCATGTTCTCCCTCCTTCTGCTCCTCATTGGGACCTTGGGAGCTTAGTCCAGTGCTCCAGTGTGGGTCTCTGTCTCTATCTCCATCCATCACCAGATGAAGGTTCTATGATGATATGCAAGATATTCGTCATTATTGCTCTAGGATAGGGTCATTTCAGGTTCCCTATCCTCAGCTGCCCAAGGAACTAACTGGGGACCTCGGCTTGGGCACCTGGGAGCCCCTCTAGGGTCAGGTCTCTTGCCAACCCTAAAGTGGCTCCCTTAACTAAGAATTGTGGTTCCATGCTCCCCTATCCAACCTTCCTTTATCCCAATCCTCCTGTTTCCCCAAGACCCGACCTCCTTCCCTTCTAACTTTTCTCTCCCCATCTCCCCTTACCCCAATCCCACCTCACCACCAAGGTCCCAATTTTCTCCCCGGCAATTTTGTCTACTTCCCTTAGCCAAGAGGATAACTA